GTTGTTTGTTTTTTGTTAAGTTTTAGTTACACAAAGACGTACTCAATAGTACTATACTGGGACGACAATAAACAACAGTAGTAACTAAATAGACTACTATATATATATATATATAGGTCATTTTGACACAACGATAATTGTTATGGTGTGATTGTCTTTTACAAGCTCACAAAGCATGATTATAATTAATTATACATGTCATAAGACATCGTGTTAGGCCTATTATATTATTCATAATATACCTTAATCTCATGTTCTTAAATAATGGGTTTTACTTTATAAACATTCTGTACAGTAAACCCTACTGATTTTGTTAACAATGCTGATTGATAACTGGAGAAAATGTTCTTATTAATTTCTTTACTCCAGTTACTTTATAAGTATATGGAGGTATATGAAGTTATTTAAACACACAATATAATGGGGAAGCATTAAATTTCAAGTAACTATGGATGTTGAACTAATTAGTACAGCTGTTAAGGTCAACCATTGCCAGTAGATGGTAGGTAATTATTTTTTAAATCCTTCCAAAAGCTGTGTTTCAATGGATTAAATATCTGTTTGAGCTAAGTATAGATCAAGAAATTCTTAAATATTAAGTAAATTACTAGATAAGGCTTAGTAACCCAAAATATTAGATTTTGTCATATTTGTCTGTTTATGTTATCATTTGAGTTCACATCGACTTATCCTGTTCATCTTGTAAGTAGTTGTTATAGTGAGATTGTGGTGATTGGGCATCATCTATTGCAATGGTTAACAACTAAACCACTAAAATAGTCCTTACCAGGAGTTCTCTGAAGATAGCAACCAATTAGAAGCCAAAATGTAGGATAAAAACTAGTTACTTAATTTCTTGTAACTAAAGAAAAGTAACTGATTAACAATTAGACTTAGGTGCTTGTACAGACTACTGATCACAACAACGATCGTCATCTTGAGTTTGACCTTTTAATTATGTCTTTATTATTTCATATTAATATACAGATGATCTTTATCACTGTGTAATCACGAGAGACCATCATTAGTTGATTTTATCAGAAACTAAAATATCATCATGTTATTGTAACATACTTGTAACCTTCTTCATTAGTGTATAGACTTCTTTCTAGAATATATATATATATATATATATATATATATACAATAATTAAAACCAATCATCCTGTCATCTTAATATGTATTAGACCTATTCAGTAGTTAGTATTTAAGGACATTCATCTTTTGTGGTGTACATTCAGTTTACAGTCTTCATCAGGTCATATTTACATGTGACCCATAGTGATGTTTCCTAATTTCTGCTATTATAATATTCATTGAACCTACAGTAGTTTTGATTTGTTAATTTTCTTTGAAATGTATTTACTGCAACAATATAAATCTTCAAATGGTTCATGTTTGGGCTAATCATTATGCTGGTGTTATTTAGCAGTGTAATATTTATTTTCTTCTGGATAAGTTTTATGAAGCTTTAGTAATGTAGTAGTAGTAGATGGAAGAGTATGTTTGTTATTAAACCTTTTTGATGTTTTAAAAATTAGCTTTTTGTTTTGTTCTGTTGTTAATACTTTGTTGTTATTTTCCTAGGTAAAAAAGTTGACACTTGGTATGCTATAGACCCTCATACAGGGACCAAGTTTGAAACACTTTCTCAGGAAGATGCTGACAATCTTTGCCCTGCTGCTAGTGACAACACAGTTTTCATTGGTCGAACAGGTCGGTTGTGATTTTACAGGGATTTTCAGCCATATTGTGTTAATTTTGTGAATAGAAGAAAAAACAAAGATAAATTAAACATTTGATCTTAAAATGAATTATGTCATATTCCATTCTTCCTTGCATCAACCATGATATTGGATAGCAGCATAATTTAAAAGCATGAAGTTTTCTACAACAGTTTTGAGCATGGTTTTACTTATATCTCAAGTTGAATTTTTCAAAGTTCTCCCTGGAAAATGCACTTTTGACTTCAGGAAACCTGAAATTAGATTCACCTTTATTCTACAAAATCACCATCTTATTTCATTGTAGTTTTCAGAGCCTCGTGATTTATTACTTTTAGCATCATTCAAATATCAAAAAAAGAGAAGAAACCAGACAAAATTGTAAACTCATAGATTGCAAGTCTGTTTAGATTTATAACACGTTTACTTTTGTGGCTAGGCATGGCCTAATGGATTTTGGAGCTGTGGGTACATCATAAGAGTGGTTTTCAAATCCCACAAATTGATCAAAGTAGCTCAACAGTTGGCAGTGCTTGCTGTTGACTAGCTGCCTTCCTTCTAGTTATCGCTTCAAAATTGGGGATGGCTAATGCAGATAGCCCTCATGGAGCATTGCATGAATTTCTGAAACAACCAAATAAACAATTTCTTCATAACAATTATGGCTTGTCTCTTTCTCTTCTATCATATTCTAACATTATTGTTAACAATCTTCTGTCCATTCTACCTAAGTCAGTGTCATGTGGTTACATTACTTTTATAAAATCTCCTATGATTTGTTCTTTAATAAAGTATTGGATAGTAAAAGACAACTGGTTGAGTTGCTTTTTACCATATTACTGTAAGTAATGTTTTAGAAAGGTGACCATTTCAAATCAGATGATAACATTACAAACCTCATAATCATTAAAATCAGTTTCACAATTTTCCTTCATCCTAGAAACCAACCAAGAACCTCATAAAAGTTTGTTGATTTGGTCCAGAACTAATCAAAATTTCTTGTGTTTTTGAGTTAATAAAATTACACTTAAGTTGACAGTTTTTTTTTTATTCTCATAGTTTTAATATTATAGGTATAACTAAAACCTGATAAAATATACATTTTACTTTCATTTTCCCATTCTTTATCATTGCAATAATTGTAAACTTGCTTGAATAACAGATCATGGAAAATGACTTTTTTCTTGAACAATCAGTATTAGTTAAATTCAGATTTTGGTACTATGTACCAAATTTTTTTCTCTATCCTTCACTGATGTGTGAATTATAACCTAATGATTATTCTAAACAAAAATTGCATACTCAGGAGTAAATGTAAATATTTTCTTTGTAGTTTTATTAATATTATTACAATAAACTAAAATGAAAAGTTTTGTGAAATATTGTAGTCTCGTATGCCAGAATATTGTAACTAATTGAAATTAAACTCAACATTTCAGAATTTCAAATAACCATGTATGATAGCAAAACAAGGGAGAAGAGGTTAGTATTATCATAATTGTTAACAATAAAGCTCAGTTTTCAGACAATGTAGTTTTAACTAAATTTTCATAAAACAGCTCATTTTTAACCAATAAAGTTGACTTTAAAGTTTCAACTTTACTTTTACTTTTTTTTACTGTGTATAATAATTTGTTGAATGTTTTAACATCAAAGTATAAATTGTGTTCTTAACTTAAGATGACAATTTCTAATTTTGTTACATGATAAGCTGAATATTTTTGAACATACTTATAATAATAATAATATAGTTGTTGTTGATTTAGGTCAATCTTTATTTTCAGAACAGCCCAGAACTGAAAAATATTGTGTACATTCATATTGGAATAGACTAATATCACAGTGAATTATACTTTCATGAATGTTTCTTCTAATGCAGTTTATGGTAAATCTTTTATTTGATAGTTTCTTGAAAGTGTATTTACTCAACTAAATTAGTAGTTTTAAACCTTTGTTAACAATTAAACATTTTATAGTTTAAATGATTTTCTGTAATTCCTTCTTTAGATGGAATGTAACTTACTATGATTATTCTGCACATGCCTCATTGGAAATGGGAGGTGACTATGGTAAGCAGAGTTTTATGTTTGATGTGCTGGTTGAAAAGTAACAATTGTTATTTTAAAAAATTAATAGGGTTTTTATATTTAAGGAAATTGAGTTTTTGCGTTGAAATTATGTCACCCTTTTCTCCAAATTGAAAACAAAAAATATTTTGATTTATTTCATCAAGTATAACTATATCATTTCACAAAGTAAAAAATATAAAAGATGATAATCTCAAAAATTTGTAGCTTTGTGTTTATTTTTGGTTAAGATTACTTATGTATTTAGTTCACCACTGTTATTGTGTGTGAAATGTTCAACTGTTCTGAATGTGCCATGCTGTTTTCTTAATAATTTAATTATATGAATAAATAGAGTTGTTTAAACATTTGTTTAACAACAAGTAAAAGCTTGGAATGGTCTATACTTTCATTGGTTTCGGAGAATTCCACTCCTCATCAGTGACCCTGGACACTATAGAATGATAGGTTTCTTTTATGTGAGTGTAAAAATGCTTAAATACACCAGTTCAATTTAATTATATGTTGCATTTTAAATGTTTTTGAATGAGAGTTACATCATCTTGTGGATATTGTTTAGCTATTATTAAAGATCATTCTAAATGCAACTTACTAAACTAAATTAATCTTAGCAAAAATGTGTGTTATGAATGATGAATAACAGTGATGTGGAAGATAGATAAAAATAATGCACAAAACAGGTTGGTAAGTAGTAAATTGAATTTTATTTTAAAATTTTGGAAATAACACTGTATCACTTAGTGGATTATTGAAAAAGAATTATACAGTTATAAACCATTATTTGTGATATCACATGATTGAAGCTAAACGAAACATGTTCATTTTCAGAATTGTCACATTTTTCCTCCAGTTCCACTGGGAGAATCCTAACTTTAGAGAGGGAGAGTGGTGAGTTTTGGTAGTTTAATTTAGCATGTAGTATCTTTTTACAAAGCAGAACAGTTATCTTATTAGCCTTCCAAATGCTGTTCTCCATTCCCATAGAATATATATTTATAATCAGAGTTTGCATATAGCATGAAAATCCCAGAAAGTTATGGAATTTTGTAAACAAATTTTCCAGTACTGAAAAACTTGTTAAAAGTCCAAAACCCTATTGCTCATACATCCCACATTTTTATCCATGGTATAGAGGCTCAAAGAATGGCTCAAGTCTTTCAAGTCCAAATTTTAGTTCATAGCTCTGTCATCTCTTGACCAATTTGAAATCTATTTGCAGTTTTGGACTAAGAAGGTTAAACCCTTTTGAGTGATGTAATGGCCATGCCCAAGGTCACCTAGATTAATTTACCCTAATTCTGCCTAAAAGAATTTCAATTTGAAGGTAGGCTGGTAGAGATCCTGATGAGTAATAAACTTGAATTTGATTATTATAGTTAATAAAAAGGAAAGAAGGTCTCGTAGATTAATTTACTCTAATCCTGCCTAAAAGGCCCCTCAGTGGCACGGTGGTATGTCTGCAAACTTATACTGCTAGAAGCCAGGTTTTGATACTCATGGTGGGTAGAGCACAGATAGCTCTTTGTGTAGCTTTGTGCTTAACCATATCGCCCGGGTCTCCTTTACTGTGCATGACACAAGGTTTTAATGTCTTACATTCAGAATGTTATTAAACTACTTTTTGTTTATGTTACATCAATTAAAATAGCATAAGATCTTAGCTAATAATTCATATTTTATTAGTATACAAGTTTTAAGTTCTTAATTCTACAATTTAAAAAATCGTAAATTTCCACTAGTGTGACCCATGTGACCCATTTTCTTTTAGCATGTCATCATCCTTATATCCACCACCTCCTTGAAAAAGTAGAAAATTAAATGGAAATTACTCTCTATAAGTTCGTTATTGCTAAGACAAACCATAATTTTTATAGTCTTCAATTTTGTTTGGTTACAGAGCTATCGAACAGAAAATCAGACCCCTCCTGCCACACCTCTCTAACATTTCATTATATATTACCTATAATCAATAGAAAGTCAAGGTTTTCATCTATCAAATGACGTATTGTATAACATTAATGTTCTGAACAGTTAGAAGTCAATTTCACTGAGTAGCAACCTCGTTCCCATGGGAAAGTTAACGACTAGCTTGTCGTATAGTTAGAAAGCCAGAAAAATTTGAAAAGTAAGGGAATTTGTCTACTCTTTGCATGTTATTAGTCTATATTCTTTGGTGTATTATTTAATTAAATAAAAATTATTAATTGCATTACTATTAGTACTATAAAAAATTAGGCTTACCTGTCATCGACAATTGAGAGCAAGAAAAAAGAAAATTGGGTAAGTACTGTATTTCTTGTTTTTCACATTTATTCTTTATTTATTATTATAAAAGTAACTAAAATCTAAAAATACGAATCTTTTTAAGTTATTTAAGACTAGATTAGGTAAAATGAATAATAATAATAATATAATTAAAATGGTTCACGAGACACGCACGCGAGCAGCTCATAATAGATCATGAGTAATGTGATCCGAAAGAGTAACATGACCTGCATGTGCTCCAAGTGATTTACAACTTTTTATGGTGCAGATAATAGTTAGATATGGTTCAAAGGGCAATAAAACAATAAAATTTAATTATAAATAGATGTATAATGTTAAGAACTTATAGCTACTTAGGATAAACAGATGTAGTTTCGTGTTACAGTTTGAAGGCATTCTAGAAAGAAAAATAGGTAATTTAGGTTTATTTTGATATTTTTAATTTTGGTGGTCATTAGGTCGTTGAATTATTTTGAGATAGAATAGAGCAAATAATAGATACACTATAAAGTTTTACTGAAAAAAAACGTTTGAAATGCATTTAGGAGGTTTTAGGGAGTAGAGAAGGGAAATTTGAGATGACGAAAAGTATTTTTTAATTTTAACACGAAAATTACTCTGCACATGGACTATTCAGAACAAATACTCACTATATTCATGGACAAATCTTTATTTTATTTTATTAAAAATACTTCACTAAAAAATATTATTTTTTGTACGTGAAAGACTTGTAATGTTAACTGAAAGACTGCCAAATTATGTGAAGATATACTATGTAGAGAGTTATAAGTATTAAATCTATAAAGACTTTAAGTGAGTACAAAGAGGTCACATGGTTGGTCAAATTGACCGAGCCCGTATTGAGATAACAAATAACAACCTGTCTAAGAGAATTTCAAGTGCCATGGCTATTGAGGATTTCCTATTGTTATTCATGGCAAGCCATATCTAATGTTTATCTCAGTTTTGTGGATTGTTATCTCCAGAAAATGTAACTTGTAAATATGCTGACTTGGCAATACCAACAAGTAAATGGTTCTGAACTACGTACTTCCATCTGCAATCATATATGTATTGTGTGAATCTTGTTGGAATTGTATTGTTAGTGTAAAATAATCTCAAGACTCGTGGAAATCTAAAGTCATTGTTGATAAGTAATGAACGTGAACTTTTCAGAATTCTTCTAATTCCATTTTCAGCATAAACACTTCAAAATAATTAACAATGTTTCTGGCCTAAGTTCTTTATCAGATATTGTCAGGACTGTAAATATAGTATTGTGATATATGTTATTAGTATATTTTGTCTCCTTGTGTTCTTATTAGTTTTTTTCTTAATAAATTCTTAATAAACTGGTTCATGATTTTAATTGTGATGGTCAATGTATATGACAGGACCCTTGATGGCAAATTATCCAGAATAATTATGCTTTCAAATATTTGAATATGGGTTTATGTTATCATACAAAAACTTATAGGCTGAATGCCAAGTTGAAATTTGTAGGTTTTATTCAACCACAATATTTCCAGTTTTTTGAAAAGTTCTTTCTTAGGTGGACTTACAACAGTAAACTGAGAAAACATTTATTATTATTATTATCAATTGTTTTTTTTTAACATGGTTTTTGAAATTTGGCCATTTAAAAAATGATCAGTACCAAATCAAATTACATGAATTTTTTAAAGCAGGAACTAGATACTATATAGTAAATTAGTATTATAAGTTTCTTGTAGTTTGGTTAAGTATTTCTTAATGAGTAGGAAATGAACAGGACACATCAGTGACACCCTTCCGTTTCAGAAAGGGTTAAGCTGGTAAATATTGGTACTAGTTTGTAATGTAAATTTTTTTATCAGTTTAAACCGTGTCTAATGAAACTACAATCAAGGCTTAACTAGTTGAGTGTGTTTGAGGTTTATAGTCCCCACTTCATACTGTTTCATTATCTACTTCAAGTGAAAGTTTTAGGAAAACTAATTTGATATATATATATCTGAAACTTAAGTACACCATTGAAAAGAGTGAATATAAGCTGTTATTTAAATATGTATTCCTCTTTCAACTTTTAAGTAAGTATTTCAGTGTGTGTATGTGTAGGAATAATGTATGTCCGAGTAAATAGATAAATGTTCAATTCTTTATTTGATGTAAGCACTTTTGTCCAAGGTGGACTATTATTAATGTCTGAAGAATCCACCTTAGGCTAAAATGCTTATATTAAACAAGTAATTAAAGTATTTACATTATTATTCTGAAATAGGTTGCTCTTATAAATATTTCATTTGTAATGTACACATAAAGTACACTATTTATTAATTTCTTATTGATAAAAATTTTTTTGAAGTTACTAAAATTATAATTAAGTCATAATGTTTAGCCTTACCAGTCATTTTGAAAACACATTTAACAGACTGGAATTTATTATAAGTAATGAACTATTTATTTTTGTTGAAGGTTTTATTTATGGAATTTAGTGTAAATATCACTAAAGCTAATCATGTTGAGTAGTTTAAATGAGGTTTGCTAGTCAGACTCAAGCATAGAAATATTTCATAAGACCATCTCATTATAGTTCATGAGTAGATTATATGAGAAATGATTCAGGAAACTTTTTGAATATCTTTACAACAAAGAATACAAGATGTGACATTTTCATAAATATAATTTAATTCTGTATGGAAGCTCTAAAGCCACTTTGAGAAAATGAATTATGTGGAAAGACTTAATTCTAATTTAAAGGGTAACAGTATTTAAAACAAGAAAAAATTGAGAGAGCTAGATATAAGCCATGGATTATGTGGTCATAAAGCTTAGCTGCTAGGCCTTAAGAGTTATACTTGTAAGCTTAAGTTTTCAGTTTTTGTCATGTTTTGGCATTGTTCTAATAATTATTGGCAAAATATTTGTGCTTACAGAATTATCCTACTGAAAGTTAACTTATTTTCATTTCAAGTTATTCCAACATGCTGTCTCTCAAAGTTTTAGTAACAGCTAGTACACAACAATAAAACAAAAGTGTACTTATGAAGATGTATTAGGAAAAAAAGTTTGCAATGTTTGAACTTTTTGCTTGGCAAACTTAGCATGCTAAGTGCATCTAACAAAACGAAAGGTAAAATTTTTATGTTACGTCAAAAAAACAACCACTGTGTATTAAACCACAAAGTCCTGAAGTCAGACAAAAAAAGAAAAAACATGTCAAAGTGCATAAGAAAAATATAATAACAGTTAATAGTAAAATAATAAAGATACATACACATATTTGCTTTTATTTTCATATTATGACACATAACTATGAACTTGGTACCAGCAACAAATTACAGTAAGGGACTGATACATAAGATACACACAGTTATTACACTGTTATCACAGTTATATGATGAAAATATTATTGAAAAATGAGCTAAAAATACAAACTGAAAAGTAAGCTCATCAGAACTCCATTTATTTAATATTCTTTTGGATAGATAGGAATGTTTTTAAAGCACCAGATGTAGAGCTTCAATTGTAGTACAATAGCAATGTGTAATGAGTGGTACAATTAGATCTAAAACATTTCATATGAACTTAGGAAACATTTTATGGGACCGGGATTACGGAACTCCTATAGTGGCCATGTTTCTTCTCGAACAAGAAGGACTTAGGCGTCTTCCATTTCAGGCAGTTTCCGTAGAAACTTTGGAGCACATGAATCAGTGGATTATGGACTGGAAACTTGACCACCAACAACGAAAAGGACTCATGTAAGCAACGGTTCTTTTTTGTTTGTTTTAAATAACATTTTAATGAATTCCTGGAAATTTTATTTTACGAAAGTGTTGTTAAAAAATAGCTCCCATTACATTGTTAGCCAATAGGCTTGTGTAAATTGAGCAAACCATCATTTGGCTCATTCACAACTGCCAAAAATGGAAATGGAATCAGTGATCTGTGGTGTTATTTATTCAGACAAGTTGTATCAATAATGGAATCAATGATCTGTGGTATTACTTATTCAAACAAGTTGTGTCAATAATGGAATCAATGATCTGTGGTATTACTTATTCAAACAAGTTGTGTCAATAGCGGAATCAATGATCTGTGGTGTTACTTATTCACACAAATTGTATCAATAATGGAATCAGTGATCAGTGGTATTATGTATTCAGACAAGTTGTGTCAGTAATAGAGATAATTTTTTGCACCAAACAAACTTTCCTATGTAACCATGAATTTTTAATTAAGATATATCAACTGTGTTGCTGATAACCTTTAGTTATCACTACTCTCATCTTGAAACGGTAATCTAAATTGTGGAATGGACATTAGATTTTGAAATGCAGAAATATAAATTGATTATTTGTATTTTATCCTTGCTTGCAAAATATTGCCTCTTGTTCGAAGTTTGGTTGAGATTAGCCCAACGACCTAGAAGTAGTTAGATAAGGGACAAACAGACAGACACAGATTTTTGTGCTTTATATATATACGATACTGAGAAGTACTTCTGTTAGTTTTCTTGTCATAATGTTTTGTGGTGAATTGTAGATTAAATATAGAGATGATAATGAGAAATATCCAACTTATTGAACTTTTGATAATTTTATTTTAGTCCAACATTGTACATTGGTCAACACAAGCATGGTCTGTATGCTCTGAAGTCACTAGTAGATGAGTTAACAGGTGTCATAACTGTGAGTAAACCTCTTTGTGGTTGCTACATTAAATTTAAAAGTTAATTTTTAATATTCATACAAAAAATATTTATTGTGAAACTGAAGTTGCATCCAAACTACCTGATGAATGAAACTTGCTGTTTACTTCTTTAAGAATTGTTACTCATCACTTAAAATTAAAAGAAAAAATCTCGGAATCTTAATAACATACATTTCCACTGAATATGTTTGATGTAAAAAAGAAATTTAAATGTTAGTATTTTCTAAATATGATTGTACAATGACACATATAACAAATGTATTTATATTTTAATTTTTTGTTTCTCATATAAACTTGCCTCGTGATGTGTAATTTGTGATTGCTAGCAAAGAATTCTCATAGAAAGCCTCTGGTAAACTTTTCCAAGATTTCATAAGTGAAACCATGAAAAAAAAAATAAAACTTTGGATGGTAGATGATGGGGTAAAATAGTCTGACTTTTAGAAGCAAATGATGTGATTTACTTTATTATTTTGTCTACCATATGTTAGAATTTATCAAGGTAAATAACTTGTACACACTAAGATGATGAATGCTGATTCACCATTTTAGGTTATCTACCTAAAGATAATTAGATAGATTCTATACTTTTGAGGTAGTTCATAATGATGTAAAAAATCTGGGTGCCTCCAGATGGCAAATTTTAAGACAGGAAACATGTGTATCTTGTGGGGGTAGTTAATTAGGTATCTTTGTTATTTGTTGGTTTGTCTGCTCCAACAGGGTAGCTCATATGAGAATAAATGTTTCTTTACTTTGAACTTATGATGATTTTGAATTCTGAAAAAAAAAGACACACCTTTATTAATGCTTTAAATGTTGAATGCTGTTTGTTGTTTTTCTTTCTTTTTAAAGTTAAGGTAATTAATTTTGTCTACTGTAACTGCAAGGGTGGATACAGGCCTGGCATGCTAGGCATGCACCCCCTCGATTTGAAAATAAAATCAAAATAATAGCAAAAATTGGATCTTTGAGGAGGGAAGAATTATAACAAATTATAACATTTATAATTATAACCCATTTAACCCTACCAGGGAAGTCCCAAAAATTCCTCGTTTACGTTCAGAATCATCACACCTCCCCATTTTCAAAAATCCTGGATCTGCCACTGAACTGATTATTAATTTAAATGTTTTATTAAAGCAGTTCTTGAAATTAGTTTTTGTATCAACACTGAGAGAGCACTAAGGATATTGCAAAGTAGCCTTTTATAAACATAAAAACAGGAACATAATAAAAGAAAAATGAAAAAAAGTGCTACAAATTTTATATTAGTCTTGAAGTTCTGAAAATACCTTCACCAACAACAAGAAATAAAGATCACATATTTTAAACTTTAGAAATCGTAAGTTAAATTTAAAACCCACATTTCAGAGTAACCAAATTACAGTATCATTTATTTCAAATAAAAAAAAGTTTTGATTTTGAGTAAATACTGACGGCTGAAGGACACCTTTGAAAGTTCTTACTTTATCGGGCTGTTGATTTTTTGCTTTTCGTTACACGGAAGCAGAGTTTTGCTGCAACTGATTAATAAACTGAAAAGTTGCTTCCTTTGGTTGACAGATGCATGTGAAGATAAAATACTACCAATTTTCCAGTTGATACTTGGCATTGCAGAGTAGCCCCCCAGTGGCACAGCAGTATGTCTGCGGACTTGCAACGCTAGAAACCGGGTTTCGATACCCGTGGCGGGCAGAGCACAGATAGCCCTTGTGTAGCTTTGCGCATAATTAAAAACAAACATTGCAGGGTAATAGTTCATTAGGTTTATAAATAGCATATGCTGGATTTTTTTTAATGTTTCATTATGGGATTTTGTGAGCTCACTTCTGATGGTGTTACTAAATATTGAAAACTTCTGCTGGCACTTTCTGTTATGTTGTTCTTATATATTATTGTCACCCAGTGAGATAATTCTTTAATGAAATCATGTTATTCGATTGACTTATGAAAATATAATAGTCTTTTATGTTAGAAAAGGTGTATTTTGTTACAGTTGATGCTTGGTTTTACTGGCATAAAATAATTGCAGTTTGTATGTTTTACAGCTTAGAAAGCTTCAGCCACTACTGTTAGAAGGTCCAGAAACTGAAAACCAGCCTGTTATTCCTGCAGTCAAACATAATACAGAATATGTTAATCGTTTTGAGACACCCGTGTTTGGAAATTACATTCCTCTGAAAATGGATCCCTCACAGTTTACAGATGTCTTAATTTTTGGTAATCTACCATGCACTGCTTTTTGCTTTCAGTTTTTTTCCAATTTTCATAAAATGTTCTTCTGTGATATTCTAAAACTTATAGTTTATAGATAATATTAACCCTTTCACTGCGGCTGGGATGTATATTTCCCAGTGCTCCCACCCCCCTCACACTGAGACTGGGACAAGTGTTTCCCATTGCCATTCAGAATTGCTATGTGTGACATATGGGAGTAAAATGAGTTGTAAAGTATTTATTGGCAAACCATTTAATGTTGATATATGGTTTCCGTCGATGTTTTCCACTCAGTAACCAACAAGATTCCTAAGCGGAATGTATGACAACTGCGTGCTGACCTTGCCCGCATCGCTAGAGTGGTGAGTAGTAACCCAAATTACTATGGAAGTGTGTTTGACTCAGATAGCTTAGAAGATAGTGAAAATGTTTTCAAATGCATGATTATGAAGAGGAAATGATACAAGAGGGTGCTAGCTCTCCATCTAGTGATGATAGACAAGATGATGAACATGGACTCGGCAGAAGAAGGCATAAACAGTTTTGACAATGGTCAACGTTTGTCCCAGTTGCAGTGTGAGGGGGTGGGAGCACTGGGAAATATATGTCCCAGCAGCAGTGAATGGGTTATTGAAAAAAGTGCTAATTTTGTATCAGTATCTCAGAATCACAAGAGTTGTTTTGATATTCGTCCATTACATATTTAATTTATCCTATGTGCACAGGTGGGTGTCAGTGTGCATGTCAAGACATTTTACAGAGTTACATTCGAAATTTAATTAAAAACCTTATTATGAATGTATTCTAATAAATTTAGCACCACAATGTAGTTTATAATTCAATTATTTTTACCTGAGTAACATGATAAGTTTATGATTTTCGCTAGAGACAGGAAATAAATTAATAAAAACATTAAAAAACAACAATTACTTTATAGCTTGAGATCCAAAAAAATACACAAGATGAATTAGCTCCCTCCCCCTTTATCTCAAAGTGAAACTGAAACACTAAAAAACTGATAAAATAACATAATAATGACATTTTTCAGGTAGAACAAAGACAGGGACCAAAGGTTATTTCCTATATTCCTAAAATAAAAAACTCAAAATCCTAGTAAAAATGAAAATAAGATCTATCTTTACAAGATTCACAACATACTAACAGAGAAACATACATATACATCACTCAATGAATGCGACTCAAGGTACTACCTGAAAAATGTCATTATTATTTACATGTTATTTTATCAGTTTTTTTAGTGTTTCAGTTTCACTTTGAGATAAAGGGGGAGCTAATTCATCTTGTGTATTTTTTTGGATCTCAAGCTATAAAGTAATTGTTGTTTTTTAATGTTTTTATTAATTTACTTTCTGCTTGACTTGAAAGGATCTTTGTTTTCAAGATGAAATATTATTTTCCGCAGGCCACTATGAGGTGCCTGAGTATTCCTTGGCTACTATTACCCCTCGATTAATGATTGATGGAAAAACTGAAGGTGACACCAGTTCAAATCTTAGAATCCCTCCCAGGATACCTCACCAGGAAAAAGACCCTGACATAGGTCCTTACAGTAAGAACAAAGGTGCTGGTAAGACTAAATCTGACAAATATATTCCACCTCCTTTTGATATTAAACACAAAAAAACAAAACACCACCATGACGGAACAACTTCAGCCTCGACAATATCAACAACCCTGTCAAAGGTCAGCAAAATTTGGAAAGAAGCTTCAGTAGAGAACTTGTCTAATTTCTGGATGTTGGTGATCATTCTTTTAGTGGTTTTTGTTGCCTATCTGTATCCACAGGTTAGTCTTGTATTTTGTTGTTCCCTAATAATTAGGTTACTTTGTGTATGTGCCTCTTAGATAAGGAAGCTAAGCTAAAAAAAAAGGGATAGCCGAAATAATTATAATTGATAAAACAGTATTTATCACAATAAAGAGGCATTTATTATTGTGTAGAAAGGGAAAAAAAGAAGCTTAGAAAATGTTTCTCTGTTTGTGTCAAACTAAAAATTAACAGGGATAAAAGTCCCTAACAAAATTAATAGAACCGAATCCCATATTAACACAAGAAAAATTACTCATCATGGAGGAACACTAACCACATGTCAGAAGTTAGCAAGTATGACACTAAATTAAAAATAATGTGTGTCGCATTCACTGGGAATTAACAATCATAAAATATATCACTGTTCAAGCTCCTCCTGCTTTTGAGATCAAGCAGGAACAAATTTACACAAACTCTCAAGAACAAATAAAACTTCAAATATTTTATTTTCAAACATCATTTTATGATTAAATATTGTTCCAGTTGTGAATAATATCAATGTGTATTTTTCACTGTTTAAGTGTTTGTATACTACTTTTCTACAGATCAAAACAACTGTGCAATAGGAGAGTTTCTAGCACATGTAGAAATATAACCACTTAATTTCTTTTATTTCTAAAAAAAATGTTCATTGGTAAAGGAAAAGTGTAATGTATGTAAGGAAAACTTTAAGTGCTCACAAACTTCTCACCACTTCTTTATCCAACATAAATTATTACATCTTTTAACATAACTTCACAATACAGTGTGGAATATTTATGTCACAAATTACAATTTTTTCGAATCATCCTCTTTCATATATTCAGTGGAAAGGAAGGAAGGATGTTTAATATAAAGGGGCTAACTTAAACTCATTTGAGGGGTAATATACCCTTCCAGAAATGAGAGCAATTATAATATGTTGGTATATACATGTTTACATGTTACAAAACACTGTAATGTGGTAGCCCCATAAAATCAATGTAAAAAATGGCTTCTGTGTATGTACATTGTTTTTAGTTGTCTTTAACTCACCACAGTAAACCAATATTTATGTAGGATTTGAAGAGTATTTGGAATTTATGATACTATTTTATTATTTTCAATTATTTATCAGTCAAGTTGATTAAGATATTAAAAATAAATTTGAAGTCTAATTAATCATTCTGTTCACCACTTGTCACTGAATTGTACTGGTTTGGGGAATTCCATTGTCAATAACTGTGATCACGGGCAGATTGAAGAAACAAGGCTAGGCCTCTTATAATGGTTAACTGTATACTATGGGTATGATGTTTTTAGTTTTAGTTTCCCACCACAGCAACTATATTGTTTCTGTATATATATTGGTAAGAAAAACTTGTGTTTAGTCCTTAGCTATCAGACTGGTGGACAGTCCTTTGCCATGGATTGGAAGATATAAAAGAAATAACATATTATACATTGTTTCTTTTATATCTTTCAATCTCTGCCAAAGAACTGTCCACCAGTCTGAAAGCTAAAGACTAAATCAATTGTTTTGTTTCTTTAAACAAAAGAGAGAGAGAGAGAGTGTGTGTGCTTTATAAACAATATTGCTAGACTTAAAGGAAAAATCTGTAAATTTTAACCTTTATAATGAAACATAAATTCTTGTTTTGTTTTATAAATGTAGCTATGTTACAAAATGTGAAACCACTTTTAATATAAATAGTAAAACTGTTTTTTTGGGTAAAAGAGTATCAAAGGTCATCCAGTAATGGTTTGCAGCTGTGACCAATATACTCGCACCTTTATAATGAAACATAAATTCTTGTTTTGTTTTATAAATGTAGCTATGTTACAAGATGTGAATGAGTAATCAAACCATTTTTAATATAGATAGTGAAACTGTTTTTCAGGCAAAAGAATATCAAAGGTCATCCAGTAATGGTTTGCAGCTACGACCAATATACTCGCACCTTTATAATGAAACATAAATTCTTGTTTTGTTTTATAAATGTAGCTATGTTACAAGATGTGAATGAGTAATCAAACCATTTTTAATATAGATAGTGAAACTGTTTTTCAGGCAAAAGAATATCAAAGGTCATCCAGTAATGGTTTGCAGCTGCGACCAATATACTCACACCAGTTGCAAGGTAAGTGCTTGAAATCCTTTCATCAGTTTCACTTATGAAACTTTAAGTTTCAAATAAAGACGCATGTTTAAGAATAGTGTTTTAAACATTCATCCATTTAGTTACTAAGGTTTTATTTACATGATAAAAATGTGTGTTTGCCAGAAATTACATTTACCTTATTGACATTATCTACATTTGGTAATTAAACTGTTTTTTTATATAATAGGTACAAAATTGAAATATTTTATAGTGTCAGTAAGACAATGTACTGCAATTGCCTGTACAAGCGGGTTTTGTATGAAATGGTTTTAATACAAATAGAAATATCCCAACAAACAACAAGATAGATAATATTGGATATGATTGCTTCATAAGTATAATTGGATTGTAAATTTAAATAGAACAGAATGTGATAGTGCTAAAAAATAGTTAGAATGTAAATGAGGGACATATTTGCAGTCTCTAAAAACGATGAAAACATTTTCGATTGAAAGAATAATTATTCACTATGGCATACATATCAGTATACTCATCATAATTATTCAGTATAGCATACATATCAGCATACTGTTCATGATGAATCACTTGTCTAAAATCAAAATTGATATTTTATCTGGTAATTTTCATGACAGACTATATGTAACATATTTATATGTTCCACATTTTTTTTAACATTGGTGAAATATTCTGATGTTGTTATTTAAAGTTTTACAGATATATATTTTGTTGACTATGGGCATAGTTGAGAGATGTTTGTATAAGAGAACACCCTACCTTAAACAAAGATATATCAAAGAAGATTAAAAATTAAATGCACATAAAATTAATCCAAAAAGGGATGTGTCTAACATTTGTTGTGGTAAACATGAGAAAGCTAAAGAAAAAAAGTAATAATGGACTAATAAGCTATAGCTTTTGTTCAAAAAATAATTCAGTGTACAAGGAGATTTATTGAAGAAGTTTGTCCATAATAAGTGAGAGAGAGAATGTTGGCTTTGTAATACATGCTGTTTTAACAGACTTAATACAGATAATACCATTGAATTTTGTGTGAAAAATAATGACTGAAAAATAAAATGCTCACTTTAAGACATGACTGTTAAAATAACCAGTTACAGAGATTGATCTGTTATGATTAGTTCCAGCCAAGTAGTCTTGAAAAATGATAGGTTGTGTTTCATTTAATGTTTTAAAAAATCAGCAAAGTTAGAAAAAGTGTTAGAATTAAAGTATGGCATGGAAAGTCTTATCATTCCAGGTTTAACTGCTGTAGACATAGCATGGAAAGTCTCACAGTTCTAGGTTTAACTGCTGTAGATGTAAAACATGAAAAGTCTCACAGTTCTAGGTTTAACTGCTGTAGATGTAAAACATGAAAAGTCTCACAGTTCTAGGTTTAACTGCTGTAGATGTAAAACATGAAAAGTCTCACAGTTCTAAGTTAAACCTAGAACTGTGAGACTTTTCATGTTTTACATCTACAGCAGTTAAACCCTGAAGACATAGATCTGATATTTTAGCAAACACTACAAGAATGTAAACCACAAGTTGATGAATCTGTACTTTAAGCTACAATACATATGTGAGATGAAATATTACATTTGATTACATGTGTGTGTGAAATATGACTTGCTAAAAATAGGTCTTTTCGTATTTAGTAGTGGTTTCTTCCCCGTGCAAAAGTGTGTGTGTTCTGTTAATTTTTGTTTTACAAGACAGTTGTTTTAGAAAAATTTTATATACTTTTACAGAAAATGAGGATGGTATGGTGCAAGTTGGAAAGATAAATTTTTCTCCACTTCAAGTTCTTGGTCACGGATGTGAGGGGACATTTGTTTACAGGTAACTTTCAATTTTCCCTTCTAGGTAACTATGAAATTTATTTTATGGTGTGTCTTCATTGTTCTTTGTTTAATTTTTTGTTATTTTAAAGTTACTTTATCAATTCTTTTTACTAAAAAAAACTGCTTTTAATAACGCAAGCAATAACATCTAAATGAGAGTAAGAAAGAAATGGCTTTTTTGAATTATTATATTTTGTTAAACTCTTTGATATCTTCAGTTGGAAGTGGTCTGATGCATGGGTAATGTTTTATTTCAAATAAAACAAAATAAGAACATTTGTACTTTGTTCTGTGGACTAAGCATAAACACCATGAACTTCTGAAAGTATTTTAAGTTTCACAATGGGCTATCTGTGCTGTGCCGTGCCCACCACAGGTGTGAAAACCAAATTCTTAGCATTACGTGCCCTCATAATCACTGCTCAGTGATGATGGAGCTAATGACCTTGTATTTAGAAATATTACTTTGAAAAAATTGTAGCTTCCATATTGAATAACATTTAGACCAAGTTTGAAATCTTTGCATGAATATAGGTAAAATTATAAACTGAAGATCTGTTTCTGTGTGGTCAGAAAACACAAGTTTTTAGTGAAACCAATGTCAAATGTCATTGATAAGAAAAAAATTGTGAAAGTCAGTAATATCTATTACTTCAAGTCATTTACTGGATTGGTGTATGTAAATTTAACAAAACCATATGATGTTCTTTTTTTTTATTGTGTGTGTGTGTGTGTTTTGCATTTTAAAATAAAATTTTGATTTTATCACAATCAAGATCTAAAATAGTTCATTGTTACTCCCTAGAGGAAATTTTGATGGTAGACAAGTGGCCGTGAAACGAATCTTACCCGAATGCTTCAATTTTGCTGATAGAGAAGTGAACTTGCTAAGAGAATCTGATGAGCACCCTAATGTTATTCGTTATTTCTGCATGGTGAGGGAATTTTGTGTGTGTATTTCAAGCAAGAATGTTAACAATAAGAAAAGAATTAACTTTCATCCTTGTGCACTTCGTTATATATATATATTTCATTTGGAGCATATGTTTTAACTGTTTTCATTATTAATCAATATGCCTATGTTTTAATAACCAAAAGTATCATTTATGTGCTTGAAAAGTTCAGTGATTGTTTGATAGTCATGAACAATTATTGAAAACAGTGTTTAAAAATTGAGCTTTATGAGTACTTTCTAGATAAGCAAGTTTATGTGTGTATTCCTAATATGAAAAACAAAACCATAAGAGAAAGAACTCCATTGTGTTAGCAACATGGAGGTCGATATTCCACTTAATAACCTTACCAGTTGGCATCTTGGAAACTTTCAAATTAGATTGTTAAGCCTAACTTGACAACTTGAGTGAAGATTTTTTTTAGGCTGAAAAAAATTATCGGTATATGTCTTTTTTTTTTCATACTTTCCCTCGTATACTTGGCTATTTTTGTAATAAAGTATTAAAACTCCATGTATGGCTTTGTGAAATATTCTTCTTTAGTACTGTTGTTAATCTAGAAGCTGTATATCATGTGATGAAATTACCGGTAAAGAAATAAAGTAGAAAGGCTCCAGTAGTATATCCATCTGTTTCATTAATTAATAACTGTGCAACATTGTTGAGTCTCAGATTCATACATTTCTCATATAACTTGTATTTATCGAATAGTTCTCACTATCTAGACACCTTTATGCATGTGTTTGTTTATATAAATACCTATCCCCCCCCCCCAAAAAAAGCTTTGTTTAAGAAGTGTGATTTATATTTTGTGCTATAATAACTTCATTAGTGGTTTCTCTGAGTTCTGATTACTTTTAATTATATAAGGTTGAGGAAAGAATGTAAACAGTTTTTCTTACCAGTCAACATAGTTAACTAGATTATCGAACTCTGCCCAAGATCTTCAACTATATTAATTTTTTAGAAGCTCTGTTTGGCTCTTATTGGCCAAGAAAGAGAGAAACAGTGTGATTGCACCATTACATTTTGTTTTAGCTCTGCAGGGTGCATCAATCAGGATAAGTTGTATCTGCCTTATGCATTATTTAGTCTTGTGCAAAATGGCATGTTAAGGTATTGTTACGTATTCCGTTGTTACATTTTTGTGCTGCTGGATGACATAAACTTGTTTTTGTATTTACGTTTCTATGTTGAACTAACCTCAAAGTTGCATTGAAACTACATATTTACAAGAGAAGATAAATGTATGGTCTACTATCTCCTTGGTTATGAAATGTGCTTCATCTAAACAATCCAGTGTTGATCTTGTTTTAATTTCTTGCCGTCAGGAAGAAGACAAGCAGTTTCGTTACATTGCTTTGGAGTTATGTTCTGCAACACTCTCTGAGTATGTAGAAAAATCAGGATTTGATAGGAGAAACCTTATGCCTACAATGCTTCTTTACCAAGCTTCATCTGGTCTAGCACACCTTCATTCACTAGATATTGGTATGTATAACAAAAAGTCAGTAGAGAGAAAAATGTATTCTGTTATTTTACTTTTAAGGTATAAACTAAAAAAAGTTGATGTTTTTTTATTAATTCTCTCTCATTCTATAAAAATATTGTAGGAGATGAATGAAATTTCTACATTACACGTATCAGAATTCACACTACTAAGTGGGTTTCCTGTATATATTTTGAAAATATTCAGAGATTTATAATGTTTTAGATTTTTCTCCCTTTTGCACGATGCATATCATTAATGTGTTATTAGGTTTATTGTTAAGGTCAAAGCTGGAACTCTCTTGCCTCTTAATGACATTTCAAGTCTTTTTTTCTTTCTTTATATGTGTGTATGTGTATAAAATTCCTGTAGCTACACTGAAGAGAGATCTTACTCTGTGTAGTATTATGTAAAGAATGTTTTTGTTTCGAGTTAGAGCTTTTATAGTTTTTTTTTTCAAAAATGAAGGTAGTTCTAGTAAAATTATAACATGCTAAGATTGCTGCCCCCCACAGAGATTTTACATCCACTAGAGTGACTTTATTTCTGTCCCTTCCAGTCAATTATCTTTTGACATAGTCTCTGATTGGTATTTACGAGTTAATAGAAAACCTGTACTACTTATTTGTTAATTTTTAATAGTCATTTGAGAATAATGTACTAATTTATATATAACTAAATCTCTTGAAAAGTTAGAGGGAATGGTACTATTTTAGTTGATTTTAAACAGGAATCAGAAATTCATATTGTAGAGTTTTCATATTAGAAGTTGTAGATTGTAATGTAGATGGAAGTTGTCAAGAGTAAGTAAGGTTATGAAAGAAGTGACTTTATAATAATATTTGGTTTACTACTTTTTTTATGTATGAACTGTTGAAAATGTAAAAGGTTATATGTTATTATATACTTGCATTACAGTTCATCGTGATGTTAAACCTCATAATGTGTTGATATCTATGCCCAATTCAAAAGGAGAAATCAAAGCTATGATTTCAGATTTTGGGTTATGTAAAAAGCTAGCACAGGGACGTATGTCTTTCTCCAGGAGATCTGGAGCAACTGGAACAGAAGGTTGGATTGCTCCAGAAATTTTAACCGGAGAGAAACGCACTGTAAGTTTTAGTTGATTCAAAAATGAAAGATTAACTAATAACATATATGAGTGTGTGTGTGCATGTCATTTGTAATATTCAGGTTAAACCTTTAATAAAAAACATGGCTCATACAATGCAAAAAAAACAACAAAAACAAGACATTTTTGGAAGACTTGTTTTCCTCTTGACTGAAAATTTTAACCACACTTTTTTCAAATAATCTAAACAGGCTGATTACATCTTTGAGTGATTTGAAACTAAGAAAAGGGGTTAAAATTTCTATTGCTATAATAAGAAAATCATTTCTCTATTTGTGTGGGAAATACCAATTATTATATATGAAGAAGACATTTTATATATATTTTTTTTTATTTCACTTGAAAATAAATGTATTTTAAATTTATCTTAAATGAACTTTTTGGTCATGGGTTTCAAATTGTTAACCTCAAGGTATCACCAATCCTTCGTTTTTAGCTGAAAAACTACAAGTATGGGTATTCGTGCTTCCTCTTTTAAGAGTTTTTTTATTTTTCCAAGGCCAATCATTGTTATTTATTTATTTATTCATCTAAATTTATCAGCAAAAATTATGGTAACTATCCCTTCTTTTTTTTTTAATAATTCACATTTGCTGATTGAATACTTCACTAATCTTTAATAATTAGACATCAATTCAAAGAAAGATGTAAACTTATAGATACTTGGGTACTGAAACTTTAAATATTTCGGGAGATAGTTAATACTTCTCAAAATATATTTTTGTGCAAATTACAGCAATACTAATAATTAAAATTAAACGTCCTTGTGGGGGTACTTGCATTCTTTTGGTAATTATAGCATAAATAACAGTTGGTTTAGAGTTTATATTTTAAAAAAAGTGTAATCTCCTTAATAATCTGCTCTTTCTATTGGTTATACATAATTCAACAGCAGGTGTCAGACGGAATTACCACCTTAAGGCCAGAACTTTATTCTTTTGCTTGCCAATGCCAACAGTATAAAGATATAACTGGTGGGACACTCAAAACATCAAATAAGAGTAGAAAGAAAATCTAAAATGGACAATTCGGAGTTTAGACATGTCACATGATAGAGAGAAATGAAAACTGAGAATTTATTTAAATATTTCTTTTTGAAATTAAAACCTAGATAATATAGAACTTTGAATTATATACAATGTTTCGATGCCAATTTTACTGACATACATTGATAATAAAGTTGTTTAATTAAATTTTGAATGTGATTCTGTAAAAAGGTCATGACATGCACATATTGACCCTCCCTTAAACATAGGGTTAAATCCTTTCCTAACTGATTATGTGTAGGAGATATTTTAAGTCATGCATTTTCAAGAGATGACTCTTAAAGAATTTTTAATTCAACATTACAAAACACAATTTGGTAGAGTTTTTATAAGATTTATTTGGAGGCTAATTTGTTTCGTGCTCATAATTAAATATTTCACCTCTGTTTAATTTTTTGTTGTGATCATGCTTTTCTTTTTCTTTCCAAACAGGTTAGTCTGAGTCAGACTGAATTAGAAAATTCACACAAATCTTCATTTAAAAAATCTGTTTTCACGTTTACTAAAAGCTTGTCAGATTTTGTGAAGATACATAATAAAATCAGAGTTATAGTAAACATTAATTCTCCAATACAAATGGACTGATCCATGCACACAGGGTTAAATATCGTAACATGTATAACAAACAGAGCTACAGGGTATTACAATCTGAAAAACCAATAACACTCCAAAAGAAAAAGAATATTACATTTAATGTATAATGTAAAAGTACAGCTTTGTTTTTGCGATTGAAATTATATAACATGTATAACAAACAAATAGAGCTACAGGGTATTACAATCTGAAAAACCAATAACACTCCAAAAGGAAAAGAATATTAATGTATAATGTAAAAGTACAGCTTTTATTTTTATGATTGAAATTATTGGTTTGTTAATATATTTTCCTCTATGTGTGTGTGCCGTTTAGACTTGTGCAGTGGATATCTTCTCTCTCGGATGTGTCTTCTACTATGTGTTATCCTCTGGAAAACACCCATTTGGTGATTCTCTCAGAAGACAGGCTAATATACTTAGTGGAGAATATAACTTGAGTGAGATTAGCAGAGATGGTAGGTAGTTGCTATCAGAACTCGTAAATCAGAAACATTGTACATTTTCATGACCTTACGTTTCTCTCAAAATAAACCTTAATCTAAGCTCATTGTTGATAACTTCTTTATTTCTGATGAAGTCCGAGTGGAATTAAAAGTATTGAAACATTTTGAATATTTAACTCTAAAATGATTTAGAAATTTTGAATTATTTCACGAACAAGCTGTAGCAACTTAGATATACTCTTACATACAAATATGACTACACACATGAGAAAATTGTTTTAGAGGTGTTTTAAAATTTTTGCATTCTGTCATCATCAGGCTCTAACTATTTATGTAGATGTTGGTACAGTTTTTATGTATATATATATATCAGTAAATAAACCATCAGAATACAAATAAAACAGAAAAGCACTGAAGTAAGTAAAGTATGAATTTGTGGAGTATCTAATGCCTTAAACTAGTGAAGCATGATCTATTGATCACTGGTTTGTTTCACATTAGATCACAATAGGAGCGATAATAATTTTTAACGACTTCATATTACTATTACTGAGAATGTTAGAGCGCTTGACTCGCAATCTGAGGTTCGCGGGTTCGAATCCCATCCCACCAAACATGCTCGCCCTTTCAGCCGTGGGGGCGTTATAATGTGACGATCAATCCCACTATTCGTTGCTAAAAGAGTAGCCCAGTAGTTGGCGGTTGGTGGTGATGACTAGCTGCCTCCCTCTAGTCTTACAATGCCAAATTAGGGATGGCTAGCACAGATAGCCCTCGTGTACCTTTGCGCGGAATTCAAAACAAACAAATTACTGAGAATCTTATAGGGCTAGTAAGGAAAGATTTAAAAAAATTGTTATAAGTATTATTGTGATGTAATGTCACACAACTACCAACCTATAATATGGTATTATTTACACAATTCTAATTGTTTAAATTATAATGAAACTGAAAGTTTAAGATTGAAAAACTGAAATACTCTTTATAAATAATCTTTACCATAATTACCAGACCATAGTTTTTTTAAGCAGTGCTGTGCAGATTATTTCAATAAAGAATGTTGTATTTCACTGCTCTTTTTGTACCCTACTTGTTTCTTTGCTTTTGTGTTTTTTATGCATATTTATTTTCCATTTCTATTTACATACTGTATTTTTCTACACCACATTTCGTAATCTCAGAGGCCCTGCATGGCCAGGTGGATAGGGTACTCGACTCGCAATCTGCGGGTCACGGGTTCAAATCCCCGTCACACCAAAACATGCCCACCAGGTGTCCGGACTAGGACGCCCATCCTACTACTGGATACTCACCTCCAAAAGAATTTGGAGGTGTGAGAAACACCATACAAAACTACATAATCTCATAAATTCTGTTTTGGGCTATTGACAGTAGAAGCTGGATACTTGGCAGCAATCAAAATAATATGTTTTTGAAAATTTTGCCTTCTTGATATAAATGTTTTCTTGATATTAATTGAATATGTATATTTTGTTTTGTAATAATTTCATTACACATGGTCTTTGGAAGTTTAAGTTTTATTATCTCGCATATTTCTTACAGAACACGTTGTACCTCGCACTCTTGTAGAACAGATGCTAAAAAGTGATCCAAATGAAAGACCATCCATCCAGGCAGTCATTAAACATCCAATATTTTGGTGCAAAACAAAGCAACTTGCATTCTTTCAGGTGAGGATATACAATTAAGGTAGAAAGTCATTATTCACTGTGATATTGTGATTTATTTCTTGTCAGGTTTGGATTTGAAATTGGTACGTAGACTGAGTAACACCTTTTCAGTTTTTAATTATATATAGAATATAGACATTCAGAAGTTTTGGTTTTTACTTTTATAATGAAGATACCTCTTTATAATGAAGATATCATGGGAATGTAGAAAAATGCAATTATGAATGTCTTGTTGTTGTTGTTTTTCATAGTATATCAGTATAATCAGGGCTGCAGCAATTTAAATAACAATTCTCAAGGTAAAATGTAATTCAAAATTGCTAAACTTGGTCACTAAATTTTTAAACTGTAATTGAATCAAAATAAAGACCTTGTTACAGTCTTATTAGTTCAGCAAACAATTTCTACAGCAAAGACAAAAAAAAAGCACCAGGTACTCTATATTTTTCTGTTCCTATATAAAAGAGCTAAAATATTTATTTTTGTTTCCTTAGGATGTCAGTGACCGTATAGAGAAAGAACCCACTGACAGCCCTGTTGTCATGTGTTTAGAACGTGGAGGATTGGAAGTGGTGAAAGGAGACTGGAGAGAACACATAACTTCAGAACTACAAGCTGGTATGTTGAAGTTGCTAGGCGATTGCTGTAATCAGAGGACTGGTTAATAACATAAACCCACTTGCATAATAAGAAGCTGTAGAATGTGTAAGGAGTCCTTGGTCAAAAGTGGTGAATCAGAGCAGTAGGTAATTAGCCAACTGTTATGAGCGAAGTGTGTGCCCATAGTTCCCTCAGAGCAAAGGCTACATAACTCAGCTGTTTTCACGAAGCTGATTATTTAAACAAAAATACATCTACTTTTAAAATATGCATTTTGGAACACAAAAAATGTGTCGTACACTAGAATAGAATGTCCCAAAACGACTATAATTTAACTGGCTTGCAAACTAAGTTATATATAGTTTAAGAAAGTTCCATTAGTTGCTTGAAGTTGAACATCAATAATCACAGACAATGAAATCTCAGACCAACTGTTTACTAGACCTGCCAAAAATAAATTACTGTAAGATTTCTGTAGAGGGAAAAAAAAAAAGCTCTTTCTGTTGGTTATACACGTGTCCATCAAATAAGACTTGGTTGAGATAACTTTCTTGAAAGCTATGATAAGGTGGGAGGGTGATTTGACAAACTTAGTGATATCTCAGCAAATCAACAAGGTGGGAGATTCTGTTTTTGTATTCTGACCTGTTGTTATCTATAGTTTGTGTTTCTTATTGGTTGGACACTTTGAAACCTATATCAGTGAATAACTAAAATTTATTAATGGGAATTCAGAGTACAAGTACAACACGTGACACAAAGAGGTGAAGACTGAGAATTTATTTAAATAATTCCCTTTTATAAATGAATTAATTAAATCTTAGAAAATATACGGATTTGAAATATCAACTATAATTTGTTGCCAAGTTTATTGACATGAATTGTTAATAAAGTTATTTAATTAAATTTTGAATGTAAATGTCAAAGGTTGTAACATGCACCTTTTTTTCTTTGACCGAGTCATGTGCATATGGTTGATAAAGAAGTGTGTGTGTGTGTAGTGAATTGTTACAAGTGGTTAAAAATAACTAAGTCAATTAAACAAACCTATTTAAAGTCAAGTTCCTAAATTGTTATCTTTTGTTTCATTTAGAACTTATATTGGAACCGTTAACACTTTTTTATTTTTTTCAGATTTGATGCGTTTTCGTACTTACAAAGGTCACTCGGTGAGAGACTTAATGAGGGCAATGAGAAATAAGGTATTTAGACAATATTCAAAGCCTGAGTATTGAATTTTAGTTTCTGTGTTATTTCAATATTTTTCACTGATGTTGTTAATAGTGTTTTTTTTTATCACTGTTAATGATGATGAGAATTTCAAATGCAGTGATAGACCTTTGGTGCTTTTTTGTTGGTGTTTGAGGTTGTATTTTTTATCTTAAATCACACCCATTTAAAGTTTTGGATTTCAATCAAAGTAACTTTGTGAGGGTGAAGGGAAAGAACTATTTCAGTGATCATAGTCTTTAGAATAAATTTTTGAGTGTCAGGACAGTTATGGATGGTGTTTTATCATCTTTTGAGCAGATTAATATAAATTGTTGTGTCATTCCTTCTTCTGAGACTATATGTTAGCTTTGACTTGAGGCTGTCACGGAAACTTGGTGAGGTATTAGTGTTACATCTTCTGTATTGACTTAAGGCTGTCACAGAAGCTTGGTGAGATATTAGTGTTACATCTTCTTTATTGACTTGAGGCTGTCACAGAAGCTTGGTGAGATATTAGTGTTACATCTTCTGTATTGACTTAAGGCTGTCACAGAAGCTTGGTAAGATATTAGTGTTACATCTTCTGAAATGATGGGCATACATATAATAGAACTTTAATACAAAAACTAATGATAATTGTTTTGTGGTAACTTGGAATGTTTTAGACAGTTTTTTTAATTTGTCGTTCTATTTTATTGTTTTATAGAATGGTTTTTACATACATAATATGTGAGATAGTATTAGCTCATTTTTGTAACTAAGATAGGTTAGTAGTTTCAAAGAATGAAAACAACCAGCTAACATCACATACTATCTATGATCAACTTATTGTGCCTGAGATGGGCAAGGATTGAAAACTTTGTTAAACAATCAGTTGATGTGTACAAATCATACGCAGAAGTTCAAGTTTGCACAAAACTTGAATACGTACGACAAAAAAACCCTGTCATTGTGACACTTAAGTATTAATTCTTTCTAGAGCAAGGCATTTAACTCAGTTAATCAATTGCTTGTGAGCAATAATTAGTGTGACATAAACTAATATATTAATCAAAATTACAATTAAATCAATTAACATCACAAAAATAATCAACTAATCAAAATATAGAACTAATCAGAATTAATGTTTCCAATTGTTATTATTTTTTATTATTCCAACTATCTAAGTCTCACGTGAGAATGATGGATTAGTTGAATGTAATCAATCACTGAGCTTGATTAATCAATTATCAAATCCCACAGCTCTAATTCTTTCAACAGTTTCATGAGCGGTAGTCACCTTGTTACACGTCTAACGTTCTTCATATGAAATTGTGAATTAGTTCTTTATTTACTGTCTTGAATCTAGTTTCAATTATAGGCTACAGTGGAAGGGATAAAAAAAACTGTGATTACAAAAGAAAGATGGTTTGTTTCAAGTGTATTTGGCATATATATAATCCAAGTTTTTGTGATTCATTCTTGTGTTGTATTTTTTGGCCTAAAATATAATATGACATGTGAACTAATAATCTTGATCTTTTCTAACATTCACAGAAACACCATTATCGAGAACTTTCAAAAGAGCTGCAGACATCTTTGGGGTCTATTCCAGAGCATTTTGTGGATTATTTCACATCTCGTTTCCCTCGACTCCTTATTCATTCCTACTTATCTCTACAGTGTTGTAAAGACGAAGCAGTATTCTCTAATTACTATGATAAAGACAGTTTTTTCCCATTTTTGGTGGACAAGAACAGCCAATCTTTCACTCCCGGCTCACCATGGAAGTGGCGACGAACGTTGATTAAAAAATATGGTGGTATTGTAGCAGCAGTTGCAGCTGAAAAAACTATTCGCAACATTTCTTTGAATACTGCAAAGATTGATGGAGAAGTTCAGTGCATTAAAGAATCCATCCCTAGAACAGACGAAGAACAAAATATTGTAGTAAATCAGTTTGAGGAAAGTGTTGAGTCTGATGTGGATTTAATGACATGTCCATCAGAACAGACTGCTCAAAATGTTGACAGCGAAGCACTGAATAACCACCTTTTTAGTTCAGATACCAAAATCATTGATAATGTGACAACAGGCTTAACTGAGGACTTCAATAAGGAGTCTGTGAAGATTAGTAGACCAGAATTTTACCCTGTTTTCTCCACTCAAGTACATGTACAGTTTTCACCAGCAGAAATTAGCTCACTTGCTTCAGAGACAAGAAATATTCCAGAATATTCTCCCGAGCAGCACGAGAACCTCAGTAATGGAGTTTCATCCCAAAAGGTACAAAAGAAGTCCTCCAGGAAAAAATTAAGGTTGAGGCACAAGTCTTTAAAGAATGAACAGGTTAAGTCTTAATTATTAGGTACTCGTTTGATAAAACTCCTCTTTCTTATACTCCAAGCCAAGTTTTTTACATATTAACAAAATGATATAATACATAAAATGTTGGACATTGATTATGAAAGAGTAGCATTTATTGATCATTCACTGTGACATGGGTATTGTATGATATACCTATTCTCAAAAATCAAAAGTTGATGACTGACATTTTTCATGCCATGTATATTTGTCTTTATTCACTAATGTCTCACGTATAGTATTATAATTATGATGGAAATCTATTTTTATATCTTTACAACTATTTAGAATGGTTATTTATAGAAGAGCAATTGTTGTATGATAAATTATGAAAGTTTTCAGAAGTTAATGTGAATATAAATCTGTGTGCTGAACTTTTAAGATAAATCTGGTAAAAACCTTGATACCAGATGTTTATTCAATGATGGTGGGCCTGAGAGAATGAAAAAGACATTCACTTTATGAAAAAAAGTCAGTATGATAATTTAAATCATTTAATTGTCATTTCTGTAGCTTTATATGAAATAATACAAATGAAAATACATAAGTATTTTTGGCAAAAAACAAATACCAGATGTTAAAGATTGATAACCTTTATCATGATGAGGACTTTTCGTATACTGCCAATCTTCTTTTTCTAGTGTGCCTAATGTATATTTTCAGAGATGAGTATTAAAACCATTCTTTAACAAGCCAAAATTACAAGTGAAAAAAAAATATTACATGCTTTTAATTGTTTATTTTCTCTTTAAAGTTAGTTAAAAAACTGTAACAATTAATTGATTATATTTAACGAGTCCGTTTTTCATACTGAATGTACTTTTTGCATGCTGGGCCAACACATTCAATGATGAACCAGGTTAATAACACACGTTGAGCTTGTTGTAACAGAACTTTAAATGTAGAGAAGATAGTTGGTGCATATCTTGATGTATAGATGCATCAAAAAAATAAAAATGTCTCTCTTCTGAACTCAGTGCAACAGGACCCTGAAGTTGTTTCAATTAAGCAGTGCCTATTGCATCAAAAGAATAAAAATGTCTCTGTTCTGAACTCGGTGCAACAGGACCCTGAAGTTGTTTCAATTAAGCAGTGCCTATTGCATCAAAAGAATAAAAATGTCTCTGTTCTGAACTCAGTGCAACAGGACCCTGAAGTTGTTTCAATTAAGCAGTGCCTATTGCATCAAAAGAATAAAAATGTCTCTGTTCTGAACTCAGTGCAACAGGACCCTGAAGTTGTTTCAATTAAGCAGTGCCTATTGCATCAAAAGAATAAAAATGTCTCTGTTCTGAACTCAGTG